GATTCCAACCAAGACTAACCACAAGAGCCAATAAAAAAACCTAATAGTTTTGATGCCAGAGTATTGTTAGATGGTTAGTTTTTTTAATTATTTTATTTGCTCCATCCAAACCATCATGGCCATCAAACAACAAGTAAGGGCAACTATTACAATTTATGGGGTAAAAATGTATCATCCACATATCAAAGATTCTTATAGTTGAATTAGTAGACAACCAAATCGATGCAGAACACATCCATTAATGCCAAATAGCAGTCAGAAGACATGATAAAAAACTCTTTAATTTTCACAACATAAGGACATACTGTACTTAATCATAGTTTCAACTGGGAAACTTGAGCATCCTAGACCAAACCAATTCGAAAATGCTAGAGAATTCCTGGAAGCCTGGCATTCAGACAAATCAGCCATCAGCACATAGACATAAGCAACATCTACATACCGTCAATAGCCATCAGCACATAGACATAAGCAACATCTACATACCATCAACAGCCATCAGCACATAGACATAAGCAACATCTACATACCATATCAACAAGTAAAAAGGGAACAAAATATCAAAGCATCTCCCCACCAGCAATCAACATCCAGATGTACATAGTTTAACACCAAGATTAATATCAGACCAGCAATTAAGAAGTAAGTAATACCTCAATCAAGGAACTGCAAGAAAAACTAACAGTAAACAGCCCAAACAAAAAAACCACCAAGGCTGCTTCCACCAACACTGGCAAGGCAAGCCACAAGAATATAAATTGAGAGCAAATCCCATTCTTTACTAGCACTGATGTTATTACCTAGTTTGGGTAATGAAATGTCAGCACAAAAACATCAAAGCTCAGAGAGCACAAAGAACACTTCATTTCAACACTGATCTACAACTATTTTCTTTGGTCAGCAACTGATAACATTTTTCAATGTTTTCATTAAGATGTTAATTAATAACTAGTATAACTAGTATAACAAGACCCAAATAGCACAACAAGCATGTATATGTGATAAAGGAAAAGTCGAAGATATCATACATGTTTTATTGCACTGTGAGTTATTCAGAGTTTTTAGGTCAATGCATATTCTCCCCTTATTAGAGAGATTACCAGGGAGGGCAGACAATTTTTATGTAGACTATCTCCTCTGGGACTCCACCCGCCTATCACACATGCAGTAGCAAAATTCTGTGCAGCTGCTATGACCACAAGGAAAATTCAATTACAGAATTAAAGATGTTTACTGCACCAATTTCTTGTAGATACCTCTAACAATTTTTAGAGAATCTATATTTACACACATACTTACCTGCTCTCCCATCATGTAACCAAGGGTAAGAGCCATACTAATACCAACTAAAATACCATATATTTCAGTAGTAGTAGTAGTAGCAGTAGTAGTAATACCTTTTAACACTATTGTAAACTATGATAATTTTGTCTATTGCTGGTCTGTGACTGTAATAAAGTTATTATTGTTATTGTTGTAAAAAAAAACCAGGCATGTGACATCTCACATAGCAGCAGTAAAGGAAATCATAGTTAAATTCATAATTGAGTTCCTCATCAACTTGTTCTTGAAGAAGTAGAACCACTGTAAAACAGCACCTCCCTATTTCCCACTCTTGTAGATAGTCCAGAAAGATGGCTAATGATAACAAAAGCAACTGAAAGCTTAACAGGACTAGGACTAGGAAGCCCCAGTTTCTCCATCCAAGTCTAAATGAAGGACTTCCACAAGAGCGATTAATGCTGTTTCTATCCTTCAGCCAGCTCTGAAGCTCGGCTAGAAGGAATTGAATTATTTTCTTCCTCCAAGGGTTTTTTTTTTTTTTTTGCTGTTGCTCTATTACCTTCTCTAAACTCTACTCTAAGAAGGGAAAATTGGATTTCAGTATATATTGTCCAGCAGTCAATAGAGAATTAGGTCCTTCAAGAATGGGTGCATCACTGGCTCCTTCAAGATAGTAGGAATCCCACTCACTCATGGAAGCAGTAACCATCTCTCGGATCACTTCCTACACTTCATTGTCTCTGTGATCAAATGGAAACAAGACATATGGCAAAATGACCTTTTCATATCACCAAGAAAATTCTCAAGTGCCGGCTAGGAATATATCAGAACAGTAAAGAATCTAATACTAGAATACTAATCAATCCCCAGCCTGTGCAAAGGATGCCAGCCATATATTCAAACCAATTTTGCCTTCCTGTTAAAGCCATTGTTTAATTTCCTCCACTCTGGCACAGGACAGTACTTGACCATCGTCTGCATAATGTCCTTTCAATGTTTGAAGAATGCTATCGTATCCTCCCTCAGCCTTATCTTCTTAGGACTAAACTTATGCACCTTTCTAGCCTTTGATTTATTGAACCTGTTGTTGTTAGTTACAAAGTCATGGCCGACCTATCACAACCCCATGGCAACATTCCTCCAGACCTTCCGGTCCTCTACCATACACCAGAGTCCATTTTAGTTCACGCCGACTGCTTCAGTGACTCCATCCAGCCACCTCATTCTCTGCCATCCCCTTTTTCTATTTCCCTCAATCGTTCCCAGCATTAGGTCCTTTTCTCCAGTTAATGACCTGAATTACTCTAGCTTCCCTTCGCTGACTCCTAAGTAATATTAATGTACATTTCTCAAATTCTAAAACTATTCAAAATGAATGTATAAGCCTTTGAGAACCACAGAGAGTTTGATAGGAGCTTCAGTGATAATGGGAAGTATTTGTTGTTCATCAGAAAACTATTTGAGGAAAAAATTGGTCCAGTAATATAGAATATAGAATTCATATTTACCTTCAATACAAAACCAGAAGCATGGCCCCGTGGACAAAATTCTTTTCTTCCCCAATAGCCCCAGGGTCCTCCATTTTCCACAGAGATGATATGGTCATATGACTTTGCCCCTCCATCCCTGAGACTGTAGGAGAGGATCAGGAAGAACACAATACTGATGGAATTTTCCATTACTAGGTAGTCCTTGCTGTAACTGTGGAAACAGCATGAATGAATAGTAAGAAATAATAATTTTGAACACCTAGAAACAAGCAAAGTTATAACCAGAAACCAACATGGGCTTGTCAAAAACAAATCGCACCAAACAAATTTTATGTCATTTTTGACAAAGTGACTAAATTAGTGGACCAGCAAAATGCTGCGTACATAGTATAATTGGATTTCAGTAAGGTATTTGACAAAGTAGATAGCAGTCTACTTCTTGGGAAGATAGAAAAATGTGGGATAGACAGCATCACCACCAGTTGGATTTTTAACTAACTGACAAACTGTACTCAACGAATAGTCCTTAATGGAACTGCATCCACATATAGGGAAACAAGTAGTGGAGTATCCCAAGGTTCACTTTTAGGCACAGTACTTTTCCATATCTTCATAAACAATCTAGATGAGGGTATAGAAGTGGAATTCATCAAAATTTGCAGATGACATCAAGCTGGCAGGAGTAGCCAACACCCCAGAAGGTAGGCTTAAGATCCTGATGGATCCTGACAGATTGAACACTGAGTCCTATCTAACAAAATAAAATTCAATAGAGGAAAAAAAGTAAGGTTTTACACTTAGGCAAGAAAAACCAAATATACAGGTAAAGACTAGGTCAAACATGGTTCAAAGAGTAACTGCAAGAGGGATTTTGGATTCCTAGTGGACAGTCATTTATATATGAGCCAGCCTTAATCACTAGATCAAACTAGGTATCTGATGCCAACTGCACAAGGCAAGCCCTTCCATGAAGTAGAGTTGATATTTTAACCTGCAGATCTCATTCTCCACCCCGCCCCACAATGCCGGAATCACTGCTTCATTCATTCTGAAGAAAGAATCTCAAGTTATCTCTGTTTGTTTTGAAATACTGTTGTGAGAAGTAATGCCAGACTCAAATTCCTCACTCTTGGTGACATTCCATAGAACAGTGTTGGACCCATTTTTTTTTCAGGCTATTTCATCCAGTGCAGTGGTGGGATTCAATTTTTTTACTGTGGGTGTGGCTTGGTGGCATGGCAAGGGAAGGATACTGTAAAATCTCCAGTTAGAGGTGGTATTTTCTGGTTCTCTGAACTACTCAAAATTTCTACTGTTATGTCCTGAGGACTCCAGGAGTTCTCACTCAGGTCCACTCACTTTGTGTGGGCGTTATTCCCCTATCCTCATTGGTTGGTTCCTCCCCAGCAGCCAGCTATAAAAGCAGGCTGCGGGGTCCAACCAGTTGCTGATTGCTGCGAGCCAGTTCCAGGCGTGGCAAGCACGGTCAGCCCTTTATTGTAAAATAAAGTACTGTTGCACTCATGCTCTGGTTCAGCCTCTCATTGCTCAAACTTAACACTGGCGACGAGGATGGGATGGCTACCAGAAGCACCATGCAACCGCTGAGTCACTAGCCACCGAGCCGCAGCCCAGAGAGAGCGATCGGCTGGCAATAAGAGGAACGCTGATCCACAGCCAGAGAGAGCAGTCAGCCAACAAAACGAGCGATCAAAAAGAGCAAACGCTGATCCGCAGCCAGAGAAAGCGGTCAGATCCAAAAGTTAGAAGCGTCTGTAGCCGCTTGTTAGCCCCGCTATAGGGAAAGTGAAGCGCTGCGAGCCGCAGCCGCTCTGAATTTGGCGCGAAATTCAAACGGGTGTCATTTGAATTTCGAGCTGGTATGAGACACAGCACAGCGCTGTAGGAAGTCACTAACGCCCACATTTTGGCGCGAATCGAGACACCTCCAACGGCTAACAGCCAACGTGGTAACCCAGAGAGAGAAGAGAGGGTAGCAAAAAAAAACCTCTCCAGAGCTGATATCACTAGTAACCCACGAGCGCCCGTTGTCCCAGAGAGATTTTTTCGCAGGTAGCCCAGCCGTTCCAGCACCATGAGTTCCAACCCAGTATTCCCGGCGTTCAAACCAGACGAAGAGAAGTGGGAATCGTATAAGAACCGTTTCAACCATTACATCGATGCGGTCGGCCTGGCGGATGCGGGAGAGCATTGGAAAAAATCCTATTTCCTAATCTACTGCGGAGCCACCGTTTACGATACCGCCGCAGCACTCGTGGCGCCTAGAGAATTGAAAAACGTTCCGTGGTCTGAGTTGCTCGAGATCCTCACTAACCACTACGCTCCCAGACCTTCACAAATCGCCAGGAGGTTCACGTTCCGTATGAGGAAGCAATCGAGTAAGGAGACCATCAATCAATATATGGCCGCCCTCAGAACAGCAGCCCTGCACTGCGGGTTTGGAACATACCTGGAGGACATGCTCCTCGATCAATTAGTTTGTGGGATCAAGGATCTCAACCTACAGAGGCGCCTGCTAGCAAAAAAAGACCTCAACCTCGCGCAAGCGGTCGAGGAGGCCCTGGCAGCCGAGCTAGCAACGAACTCAGCCACCGAAATTCAGGGCCCTAGTGCCAAGCTGGCATCGTTCCCAGTCCACTCCGAAGAGGTGGAAGCGGAGGAAACCCACAACGACGAAAACGACGTCCACCGCCTCGCCAACGACAGACGGTCGCAGGTAGGGGCCAGACAAGAAAACATCGGTCCACCCAAGCACATCACATTGTGCCTAGCCTGTGGGGGATCGCATCAAAGGGCCACCTGCAAGTTTAAAGGAGCCACCTGCAACAACTGCCATAAGAGGGGACACATCGCGAGAGTATGCCAAGCCCCCCAAAGCGCTGCACACAGGCCCCCTTCCTCGCACTCGGGACCACAGAGGCAAGTACTAAATTGTCGCACGCACCGCCTTGCCAGGCGTACTTGCCACACTGTTAGTAAAATTTCTCTCTCCGTTTCCCTAGAAGGTAAACCGTGCCACATGGAGGTTGACACAGGGTCGGCGCTCTCAATAATCTCGTGGAACACCCTCAAGAGACTCCACCCCAGCCTATCTACTACCCGGCTTCAGAGATGCCAGTTCGGTCTGAAGGACTACCAGGGGAAGACCATTCCCGTGATCGGCAGAGGCAAGTTCTTTGTCAGTTTTAGAGCTTTTAAAGGCCACCTACCTCTAGTGGTAGTTAACGGCAATCTACCCACCTTATTGGGGCTCGATTGGTTTCCCCACCTCGGCCTAGGGCTAACAGGAGTCCATGCTGTCTCAACCTCAGACACTGACTCCTTATTCGCTGACTACGCAGATGTGTTCAGCGAGGAGCTGGGGTGTTATAATGGAACCCCCATCTCGTTCACCGTTGACCCCCAGGCAGTCCCAATCAGACTAAAACCACGTAGAGTTCCATTTGCTATTCGGCCAAAACTAGACGCTGAATTGGATAAACTATTAAAACAAGGGGTCATTGAACCAACAGATTTCGCCAAGTGGGAGACGCCCATTGT